TGCATAATCTGCTTTTCATCTCGTCATTTTACCAAAACGCACACAATAATAAAATACCATGCAAACACATATTAAGAACATGTAACTTAAAAATTTGAACACTGTGGACAATTAATGACACCACGCAAGAGCTTCATACTGTGGTTATTGGTATCAAGACATCAGTGGTGGACCTGTCACTGCTCGGGAAGCATGACAGGCAAACTGTGCTGTCCTCCTGGAGCGGGAGGGGGTGGTCTCTTACCAAAGGCCTTCAGTGTCTGAGGGATTTTTTTTTTAGTGGGGCTAGGGTGACTGCAGCTGAGTGCCCCCTAAATCCATCCAATCCCTCCTGTAACTTTGCGGGGATTGGGTTACTTCTTGGTCCTGGACTTTCTGATATTCCCTGGTGATGCAGGTGAACAGAAGAGCTGCTGGCCTTAACTGATCAACATTTCTGGGTTGGTGGAATTTCTACTTTCAGGGTCCTCAGGCCAATGGCAGGCCTTTCCAGTGGAGGCAAGATAAGACATTCACTGGATCTCCAGCTAAGTCCCTAATGCTCTACAATATCCCCACAGGGCAATAAAATTCATTGGACAATATTAGTCTAGAGGATCAGGAATAGCTGTAATTGTTCTTTCTCCTCACGCATGTGCACAGACGAAGTTGAATTTTTACTGTTAGTAGCAAAGGTTTATAAAATGCCAATGCAATCCAGCTTGTCCCAGCACACACTATATACCTGGTGCAGAATAATTTAATATTTAAAGGTTAACTAGACACTTGTAAATCTTATGTGCCTGTTAGTTTTTTTATGGTCAATTTTCAAATATCCTGATGAGAATCCATATCCTTTATGAACAAAAATAAAGTTGCGGGAAAAGCTCAGCAGGTCTGGCAGCATCTGTGGAGGAGAAAACAGAATTAACGTTTTGGGTCCGGTGACCCTTCCTCCTTTTATGATTGTTTATATCCCTAACTGTTACAGTGTTTAGGGTGTAGTTAGATCCTTACATTGTATTTTGTTTTTTTTTTTACTTTTTTCTCTTGTTTACATGGCTGGTTTCCTTTATAACTTATTCTATCCAGGCTTGTCATGTTGACAGATGTCTAATGGTTGTGACACTAGAATACCCAATTATTTTGCATGGCTGTATGCATATGAGGATTTTGTCCTGGTTTTTCAGAGACTGTTTCCCCAGAATTCAGCATTAGTCCTCCAGATTCTGAGAAAGTCTTGTAGCAATAAATGTCAGGGTTCAGCGCACATGCAGTGCCCCACAATTCACCAAAATAAGTCTACTGACACTTACTATTAGTATGGAAATCACTGGTGAATAAGTGATATTTCATGGGATGTTGACTGTCATTGATTTATAAACTTGGGTTTTAACCTTGTGGAAACAGCAACACACTCTAACTTCATTAACTTTAACAAAATTATACCACTTACTATATTCATTGCCTATTAAATGGTCAACATGAAGGTAGGTTTGTCAGCTAAAGTTAGGCTAGTAGTGTAAATATCTCGTATTGAGAATATCTGCGTTCCTGCAATACCAATCAAACTATCCATTCAGGGGAAAAAAAAATTAAAACTCTTTTTCATTAAAGTGGAATATCTTCCCTTAAAGTGGTAAATTGTCCTTGAAAAAGCTTCCTCTTATTATCAATAACATAATATTTATTTTCAGGCTGATTTGGTTTTATTTTACCTTGTTTCTCTGTCATTTCTCAGTCTATTATCAATCTTTAAATCTTATTAAGGAGGCAGATTGGTCCCATCATTCACATGGGTCCCAGATACCCCATTTCCCTCATTGTACTTTTATCAGCCATACACTTGGAAAGAAAACATTTTTGAGCTGGTGTGTGAGGGGTTAAAGAAAATCAAATTGACCGTGCAGCTGCAGTAAATTCTAGGCCAACATATTAAATACTACTTAATTGTTCACTTCAGTCCTGAAGTCCTGAGACTGATTTTTAAATTTTATGCAAAGACGAAATGGTGTTCAGGAGTTCTGGGAAAGAATTTTTTAAAAAATTCATTTATGGGATGAAGGCATTGCTGGCTAGGCCAGCATTTTTTGCCTATCCCTAATTGCTGAGAGTCTGGAATCACATGTATATCAGACCGGGTAAGGATGGCATTTTTTCTCCCTAAAGGACATAAGTGAACCAGATGGGGTTTTCTGACAATCGAAAATGGATTCATGTTATCATTAGACTCTTAATTCCAGATTTTTATTGAATTCAATTTCCACTGTCCACTGTGGCAGGATTCGTACCTGGGTCCCCAGAACATTACCTGGGTCTCCAGTAGACCGTTGCCTTCCCAAATGGGGATTGGGATCTTGTAGAATCAGCAGTGAGATATGGAGAATTGGGAGAATACTTCGGTGTTAGTTGGTGCAGCAATGATGACAGGGAGGACACGAGACATTAGGATTGGAAATTATTAAGTAGGAATATGGAAAGGGATTGAGAGCACTATTCACAAATACATGGTCATGGTCATGGTCATTTCTCCAGGAGTGGCTAACTATGAGGGATTGGGAACAACAATGATCTTTTAAGAAGCAGTAGGTACTCAATGAAGTGAATAGGTAAATCTGGTAATAGGGTGAATGGGTAGCAGACCAGTAGAAGTTGATTGATTTATGTTTTCTCAGGCTAAGAAATCTATCCATTGTCCTAAGAGTTCTGTCACCCTGTGTAGCTGCTATCATCTCTAAACCTAGTGTTGACAACTGGGCAAAATGCAACAACTGGTTGTTCAAGGGAGCATACAGATGGAGAACAGACTTTAATACTGTTTCTGAACAGTGGTTGATGACGCAGTCTGTAGGACTAAATTTGTATTCGAGCTAATGTGGACATCTCCATTGCCAGGATTAAATTTTGCGCAAATCCTGAATGCTGTTGTGACTGGTCACCCCCTGCCACCTTCATGACGGCCAATTCCCCTTGTCTCAATTGCAACTCTCTCTTTTACAGAAGTACGCAGGCTTTTGTTTGATTGAGAATGGTTTCAGGTTAGATGATGGTCTGTGTATTGTGGTTCAAAGATTTAGATTTAGATTTAGATTTTATTGGCATGTGTACTCAAGTACAGGAGTACAGTGAAAAGTGTGCAAAGTCACCGTTCTCCGGTGCCATCTTAGTTTACAAAAGGCAGGATTAAAAACAGAAGCACAAATAAAAGAAACAGCCGGAAGGAAAGGAAATGCTCAGATCACTCCTAAACCCCCTACACCTTGCCCCCTCCTGCTGTGAGTCCTTGTTGCCAGAAAAACAAAACCACAAAGTTCATCCCTCAGTCTGCGAACACTCAAGGGCCCAGAACTATAGAATCCCTACAGTGTGGAAGCAGACCATTTGGCCCATCAACTCCACTCTGACCCTTTGAAGAGCATCCCACCCAGACTCAGTCCCCTACCCTATCCCTGTAACCCTACATTTCGCATGGCTAATTCACCTATCCTGCACATCCCTCGACACTAAGGGTAATTTAGCACGGCCAATCCATCTAATCTTTGGACTGTTGGGGGGAGCCAGAGCACCCAGAGGAAACCAATGCAGACACAGAGAGAGCATGGAAACTCCACACAGACTGTCCCGTGAGGGTGGAATCGAACCCAGGACCCTGGTGCTATGGTACACTGCTACAGCAGGAACACCACCGCCTCTGTCATTAGTACCCGAGCCTAGCCATGATAATGAGCTGCAATGCTACTACTGGCACTGTGTCACCATTCTTCTGCATAATCTTGCTTCCATCGATTTCATCGCTGGCACATGTCTGCTGAAGCCACCGGATGCTGAACTGGGCTTAAACTTGATACTGAGCCCACTGTGCCGAAACAACCAGTGCAGCCTCCTGTCTTATGTTACTGCTGCTGCCACCTCCTGGGCCCATTCTTTTGGTCCATTGTAGGCAGCAATGGACTGAGGGACCTGTTGTTTATTTTAAACATGACTGGTACCCACTCCATATGGCTAAATTTTAGATAAAATCAGGGTCGCCTTAGTTTCCATGTTCTTTTAATAGCTTGACATCATGTTCTTAAAGGGACACTTCTGGCCCTCAGAAAACTAATAGATTTTGTATTACATTTCTGCCCTTTCAAATCATCTCATTTGGCATGAAGAATTTCACAGAGAATGCATTTATTGATGCATGTGTAATTCCTTCTCTGTGTCGACAGTAAGAGTCAGGGTTGTAAAGAGTTGAATAATTTAGAACTAAACTGCCGAAGTTGATCATTTAGTTCATGCAAGGCTACTACAATTGAAAGTCAAAACGCAATTATGATTAAAACCCTGTATGGCCTATTCTGATGAATGTGGGCAATAAACTGCATTCAGATGAAGGCTGTGTGGAAGATAAATAATTTAGCTTTCTTATGCTTTTCTGTCCTGAATTACACTTGGGGCTGACACTGACCAATTATTGCCCCTCGCTGTTCTATCTGAACAATGTGCCGTCTTGATATTCTGCAGAATTTAACTTGCTGTACAGATTCAGTCTGAAACCAAATGATCTTTGTACTGGAGAGGCCTAACGTTCATTACTTGCTGTGTTCAAATTGTATCGCCATTCTTTTCAATCAGTTCAGAATACAAATTGCATATTTTTTTCCCCTGAGGTTTGCATTTTATTTGTTTATAAGCAACTTGTTGCCAAAATGTTAATCATTTTTGCAGGTACATTTTTATAAAATGGCTAGAATCCTGGTTAAAAAAAAATCAACATTTATAGTTGCTAATTATTGACTAAAACTTTTTTTACCTTAGATGTTTCTAACAAAAATGTTGAAGAAAGTTTACAGTTTGTTTTTTAAAAACGTTTCTTAATCTGGTTGTAGATAGAATTTTCATTAACTAAAATATAATTGCTTGGAAATATTTACAGGGTAATGAATAAGTTATAATCAGGTTTCATTTCCTATGTAATGATACTGTTCAGATGTTGTCATTTATAAACAAGTAAAACCATCTAAATTCATTATCAACAGGGCGTGCTTTGTTAAGACTCACTGCTGGAAAGTTGAAACAAATGGGTATTGCTCAGGAGAGCCATCGTCAATTACTACTTAAGGAAATACTGCAACTGCATATACGAGATGATGTGGAAAGTCTTGCTTCTGCCTTCGCAGGTATAATTCAATCAGAACTTTGCAGCTTTTTTCTTTCTTCGTTACAATAAATTAAAGCCCCATCAACAAATGTTTTATGCTTGGGTATAAGAATGTGATTGTGTAAACATGGCTTCCTGATGCTTTTAATTAGATTTTTAAAAACTTTAATAATATCAGGGATTTTTGACTTGAGAGACAATCTTGATATTCTTGATATTCTTTAGGCCAAAACAGTCAGTTTTCTATTATAATAACTTATTTTGATTTTCTGCCAAGCTATTCTATCACATTCCTAATGTGTGCCTTATAGATAATCTTTTGGGAGATGAGTAGCGTCATTTGCTGCAGCATATCCATCCTCTGTTCTGCTTTTGTTGCATCAGTTAAGTTTCTGGTTAGTGGTCATCCCAGGTTGTTAATGTGGGAAGCAGTGAAAATTATTCTTTTGTCAGTGGAGGTGGTTAGACTGTATTGTCATAAATGATCACTATCTGGCACTTACATGGGAAAAATGATACTTGCCACTTATCAATCTAGGCCTGAATAGTGTCAGGTTTATGCTGCATGTAGGGATAGACAGCTTAAGTATCTGAGGAGTTGCTGATGAAACTGAACACTATGTAATTAATCAACAGTTGATGGATGAAGCAACTGAAGGCTGCCTTGAGAACCTTTAGCAGCAATGCCCTGGGGCTCAGATGTGGCAACATTGATGATCAAACTTATTTGTGCTTTCCAAAATTCCTTTTTAAGTTTCCCCTTGTACATTCAGTACTCCTCTATGGCTTCTGTTGTTTTGAGCCCTCAATGTGTGCTATAAGCCTTCCTTTTTCTCTTTATATAATCATGCATATCCCTTTATATCCAGGGTTCACTGAATTTGTTGGTTCCATGCTTTACCTTTATTGGAACATGCTGGCCCTGTGCTCCTCTTGTTTTCTTTTTGAGTGCTCCCATTGGCATGGATTAAACTAAAAGTATCTGCTCCCAGTCCATTCTGGCCAAAGCATGCCTGATCTTCTTAAAATTGGTCTCCCACCCCAGTTGCGAACTTTGATTTCAGGGCCATCCTTCTTTTTGTTAACAATCTTGACTGTAATGAAGTTCTGCTCACTGACTGCAAAATGTTCCTGCCTTGATACTTCAACCACTTGTTTGACTTCTTTACCTAAAATTAACATAAGATTTAAAGACAAATTGCAAAGTAAAATCTGTGGAATGTTCTAAGTGTTGTCTCATTGGTAATCAAACAAAGTTATCATAATTGTTTCAACCAAATGATCATATATCCAAGTCCTTTTCTTTTGAGCTTTTAAAAGTTTGTTCATTAATATTTGTTCATTGCTAATGGTTTCTGTGGTAGGGACCATTAGGATTGGTTAGAGTTAGCATTATTCTCCATTAGTGTCAGGGTTAAGGTTAGGGCTAGGTGTTCGGGTTCGTCTCACCTGCGATGGTTAAAGCAGAGCTGATCTCACCTGCGACAGGATTAGGGTTAAGGCCGATTGGGTTATGGTAGAGAGAGAGTGGGGGTTAGGATTAGGCTGTGATAGAGTTAGGGTAGAGCTAAAATTAGTGTTAGAGGTTAGGTTTAGTTCAGGGTTAGGTGGGGTTAGTCTCCGATGGGATTAGGAGTTTGGGATTAGGGATAGTGAGAACTAGGAGAAAGAGAGATGGGGAGAAGCAGAGGTCTAGAAACATGGGTGGAGATACCAAGACAGAGAAACAGTGGGCCATTGAGAAGTAATTGAGGAAGTTTCTTGGAGAAGTTGGCTCAAGACCATGGGGAGAAGCAGAGATGGGGTAACAGTGGGGTGAAATAGAAGCTGAGAAGCAGAGGGGGAGAACAGAGTGGGTCGCTGAGAAGTAACTGAGGAGGTTTTTGGGAGGAGTTGGTTCTGTCATCACCACTAAGAAGGATTGCGAAAGACCCAGCGTCAAAGAATGGAGTGGCATGTAAAATGTAGGTGGTTTTGGATCTACAAGACATCCAGGACAGTCATGCCTGCATGAAATGCCAGAGGGAGCAGTTATTGGAAAACATGTCTGATTTGGAGCAGTGGCTGTCCTCACTCCACACCATACAAAAAGAGGTTTCTGGGACAGAAGAGTACCAGAGAGTGGTCACTCCACATCATGATAGATAGGCACGGAGGAGTGCAGAGACGGCAAGAGATTGGATGACCATTTGCTGAAAGGAGATGGCAGCTCCAAGAAACTCAGGACACCTTGGAGCTGTCTAATAGGTCTGAAATTTTAGATACCAATTTAGTGAGCAACACGACCGAGTCGGAGGTGGATTACCTGAGGGAGAACACAGTACCATGGTAGCTGAGGCTATTCTGGGAAAATAGAGAAAGGCTGGTAGGCAGATTACTAAGGGATAGTTGTGAGTGACTCAATAGTTTGAGGGATAGATAGTCCAGCTTGCAGTCGAGATTGTGAGTACAGTATGGTCTGTTGCCTCCTGGGTGCAAGTGTATAGGACGTAATGGAATGACTGGATAAACTTATGGAAGGGGAGGGTGAACAATGAGTGGTAGTGGTTCATGGGGGAACCAACGACATAGGATAGATTGGAGGTCTGGCAGGATAAGTTTCAGGAGTTGAGGAGTAGGTTGAAATGCAAGGCTTCACCATTTAGGCAAAGACAGATCAGGGAGGTAAAATATGTGACTTGAAGGGTGGTGTAGAATGGAGGGGCTTAGACTTTTGGGACATTGGGGATCATTTTTGGGAAAAGAGAACGCTGTTCAGAAGAGATGGGCTTTACCTGAGCAGTAAAGGAACTATCCCGTAGCTGAGAGAATAAATAGTGTAGTGTGGGTGAATTTAAACTTATAAGGTTGGGGTGGAGGTTGATTGACAAATGGGCCTAGTTTTGGAAGTAGCAGAGGGAGTAGAAGAGTGAATATGGTGAATGGGCAAAATGAATTGAGGGATTACAAAATTCATTGATGGCAGTGAACAAAGAAAAATCGCTGCCTTATGGACACGAAAGAGATAAGGGCAGGGTTAAATTGTATGTATGTAATTGCATGGGGTATACTTGATCAACATTGTTCTTTTCTTGATAAACTGCAATTCATTTTATGCTTGTTTTGAACAGAAGGTCAGTGAAACAATATCACATGCCCCAACAGCCTTGGATACACCGGTTTCCCAGTTACTGCTGCAGGCGTCACATCGGCTTTTCTGAGAGTGAACCCGCAGAAAACAACGAGCCCAGACAGAGTCCCCGGCCATATACTCAGATCCTGCATGTACCAGCTGGTGGGAGTATTCGCTGACATCTTTAATCTCGCCTTACTGTGATCTGAAGTCCCCACCTGCCTCAAGAAGACCACCATCATCCTGGTGCCAAAGAAAACTCAGGCAGCATACCTCAATGACTGCTACCCAGTGGCTCTGACCTCCATAATTATGAAGTGCTTCAAGAGGTTAGTCATGGCTCATGTCAACTCCACCTTCCCTGCCTTGTTCCCTTACAATTCATCTACCATTGCAACAGGTCCATGGCAGATGCTTTCTCCTTGGCTCTGCACTCATCCCTGGAACATCTGGATATCAAGCATACCTACATCAGGTTCCTACTCATTGACTACAGTGTCAGCTTCAATGCCGTAATTCCAACCAAACTAATCTCCAAACTCTAAGACCTAGGTCTCTCCTCCGCCTTCTGCAATTGGCTCCTCGACTTCCTGACCTACAGACTGCAATGGGTGCGAATAGGCAACACCACTTGCACGACAATCCTCCACAGCAGCACCCCACAAGGCTGATTACTCAACCCCTTACTGTACTCCCTATACATTCGTGACTGTGTGGCCAAATATCATCCTAACTCCAACTAGAGGTTCGCTGCAGATACAACTGTTGTAGGCTGGATCTCAAACAATGGGGAATCAGAATACAGGGAAGAGTGCTTGGTGTCATGGTATAAAGATAACAATCACTCCCACAATGTCAGTGAAATGGAAGAACTGTGCATTGACTTCAGGAAGCAAGGTGAAGAGCACACCTCTGTCTACATCAATGGAGCTGAGGTAGAGATGGCTGTGTGTGTCAAGTTCCTAAGAGTGATGTTAACCAACAATCTATCCTGGTCCACTCATGTTGACGCCACGGTCAAGAAAGCACAACAATGCCTGTAGTTCCTCAGCAAGCAAAGGAAATTCAGCAAATCCATAAAGACTGTTATTAGTTTTTATAGATCGACCCCAGAAAGGATTTTCTCTGGATACATCGTGGGTTGATAATGACAACTGCTCAGCCCAGGATCATAAGAAATGACAGAGTTGTAAATGCGGCCCAGTCCATCATGCAAACCAACCTTCCATCCATACTTCTCGCCGCCTTGGGAAGGCAAAGGGAAGATAAAGAAGTTGAGTTCTGAGGAAAGGTCACCGGACATGAAACGTTAACTCTTATTTTTCTTCACAGATGCTGCCAGACCTGCTGAGCTTTTCCAGCAACTTCTATTTTTTGTTCCTGATTTACAGCAGCCACAGTTCTTTTGGTTTTTATTTAGCCAAGATAAAGAACTCTCCCACCCCAGTTATAATGTCTTCCAACATCTTTCAGTAGCCAGAAGATAAAAAGCTTAAACAGATTTTTAGATTCAAGAACAGCTTTTTCCCCATTGTTGTTAGACTTCTGAATGGATGTCTCAAATTTTTAAACTTTATGTTGATCTTGCTGTCTGTGCACCTTCTCTGCAGCTGTAACATTGTATTCCTTGCTCTGTTCTTTTACCCTCATGCACTTTGCAAGATATGATCTGTGTGTACTACATGCAAAACAAAAGTTTTCACTGTACCTTGGTATGTATCACAATAATAAATCATATCAAATCAAAGTTAGGGAACTGGAAGCAGGAAATGCTCTAGGGTGATCTAACATGGTAACAGCGACAGAAATGTGGCTCAAGCTAGGACAGGACAGGACTGGAAGACTGGCAGCATTCTAGGTAGAAAAGTTGTCAGACCCAGATGGAATGCAGCCCAGATTGCTGAGAGAGGTAAGGGAGTAAAGGGTGGAGTCATTGAAGAAATTTTCCAGGTCTGTCTGAGCATGATTTGTCCTAAGGGACTGGAGGATTGCAAATGTGACACCATTATTTCAAAAAGGAACAAAGGATGACTCAGGAAGTTACAGATCTGTCAGCTTGACGTTAAAAGTGAGAAAAATAATGGAGGTCATAATATTGCAAAACAGAATGGCGAAATGGGGAGGAAGTGTGGGGTAGAGACTGACAAACAGAGGGGGGAAGGTACAGAAAACCAGAAGGTGAGAAAGAGATACAGAACAACAGAGACTCTCAAACTGAGGGGTAGAAAAAGACATTGGGAAACAAACATGTGGGAGAAATGGAGGGAGAACATTGTGAAGGAGAAAGGGAGAGGAAGAAACCTGGAGAAATAGGGAGAAGCGGTGAGAAAGATATCATGAGAAATGGGAGTTAGAGAAAACTGGGGGGAGAAATGAGGGTAGAAACTGACAGAAGCAGTGGATGAGATACAGACAATGGGAAACTGAGATCGAGATGGAGAGATGGTGCCAGATGGAGAAATGGGGACTGATTTGGGGTGGTGGGAGGGGTGGAATTGTGGAGGAGGAAGCCGGGTGGGTGAGAGAATCAGTCAGTGAGAAAGAGACATTGGGAAATGGGAGGTGGAGGAGAAACAGAGACTGAAATGGAGAGTGGATGCCTAAACAGGCAGAGAAACTGAGAGAAATGGGCATGAGAAATGGCGAGAGAGAAATAGAGACCAATAGCTGTGTGAACAAAAGGGGGTGAAGTGGGGTGGGGGTGGGGTTGGTGGGAGAGGGGCAGAAACAGGGTAGAGAAACAGATGGGCAGAAACAGCTGGGGGAAACAGAGTGGAGAAATAGATACTCAGAACAGAGGTGGATGAGCAGTCGGGTGGTGGGGGGGGAGACCGGAAGGAAGAGACTCTGGGAAGGAGGGTGAAAAATATACTAAGAAACTGGTGTATGATCAGAAGGGGGAAACCAGAGGGGAAGAAGGAGACCCTAGGAAGCAGAGGCTGGCAATCAGAGAATGAGAAACGGGTGGAGAAAGAGAGGAAGAAATGGTGATGAAGAAACTGGGTTTGAGAGTTTAAACATAGGGAGGAAAAACAGTGACAGAGAGACAGAAAATGGGAAATAGTGAGTGAGAGCTAGAGGGGGAGAAATGGAGGGCAGAAACAGGATGAGAAACAGTGGCAGAAAGTGAAGATGAGAAACAGAGGATGAGCACAGAGAGGTAGAAACAGGATGAGAAACAGAGTAGCAGAAACTGGTGGAAAGAGAGGATGAATTACGAAGGTGCAGAGTGGCAGAAACAGAGAATGAGAAACAGGTGATGAGAAAGAAAGTGGCCAAAACACAGGATAAGAAACAGACAATGCAAAACAGGACGAGAAGTAGACTGGTGGGAACAGAGAATGGGAAGAGGAGAATGAGCAATAGAGTGACAGAAAGAGAGAACGAGGAACAGAGGATGAGAAACCAAGAATGAGGAACTGAGGATGAAAAAGTGGCAGAAACGTTGGTGGAAAGAGAGGATGAAAATCAGCGAATGAGATGCAGAGTGGCAGAAACAGGAATGAGCATCAGAGGACCAGAAACAGACGATGATAAAGGAAGAGAAACAGAGTGGCAGAAAATCAGGTTGAAAAATGAAGGATGAGAAACAGAGGCAAAAGCAGAGAATGACAAACAGGATGAGGGCCAGAGTGGCGGAAAGAGGAGGAGAAACAGAGGATGAGAAACAGAGCGGCGGAAGCGGGATGGAAAACAGGATGAGAAACAGAGGGGCAGAGACAGAGTGCGAGAAACAGTTTCTTGCACTCTGTTTCTCGCTCTCAGTGTTTGAGTAACAGCGTGCGAGGAACTGAGAGCGAGAAACAGAGTGCAAGAAACAGTTCCTCGCACGCTGTTACTCAAACGCTGTTTCTGACACTTTGTTTCTCGCGATCTATTCAGCCCCTCTGTTTCTCGCACTCTGTTTCTCGCGATCTATTCAGGCACTCTGTTTCTCGCACTCTGTTTCTCGCTCTCAGAGTGCGAGAAACACGGGCTGAAACAGAGTGTGTGAAACAGAGTGCAAGAAACAGAGGGGTTAAAACAGAATGAGTGCAAGAGAGCGAGAAACAGAAGTGCTGTAACAGAGTTTGTGAAACAGAGTGTGAGAAGCAGAGGTGCTGAAACAGATTGCGAGAAACAGTGGGGCTGAATCGGAGATTGTGAAACAGAGTGCGAGAAACAGAGGAGCTGAAAGACAGTGCGAGAAACAGAGGGGTTGAAACAGATTGCGAGATACAGAAGGGCTGAAACTGAGTGCGAGAAAAAGATTGCAAGAAAGAGATGGGCTGAAACAGAGTGTATGAAACAGAGTGCGAGAAACAGAGGGGCTGAAAGACAGTGTGAGAAACAGAGGGGCTGAAACACAGTGGGAGAAACGTAGGGGCGGAAACCGAGAGCGAGAAACAGATTGCGAGAAACAGATGGGCTGAAACACAGTGTATGAAACAGAGTGCGAGAAACAGAGGGGCTGAACAGAGTGCGTGAAACAGAGTGTGAGAAACAGAG